AGGTGTGATTTCATAATAGGATGTCTCTTGGTGACATTAGCGGGCTTCAACATGTCCGTAGACTAGGCAATGAAAAAATGAATGCATTAGGAAATGTAACTTTAGATAAAGAGGGGAGCGACGGCCGTCGTGAGGAATCACGGAGGCACGACAAACGGTCGACGGGCCATACTAATGGTCTAAAATTAAAGTGACCTGGCCACCGTGGTTACAGGGTCACTAACTCCGTACGCCGGACAAGTACTTTGAACCACACTGTCCTGCAAGCTTCCGAGACCTAAACAAATCAGAGTCGACGCGAGGGGGGGGGGGGGGGGTAGGCTTCCCGTTTGGAAACCCCCCCCTTGGGGTGGAAGGGGTTATGGGGGGGGGGAGGGGGGTTTGGGTTCCTTCCTTTTCCGGGCCACCCACCCATTTTTATGACCAAATTTCGGAAAAAAAAAAACCGGGTTTATTGGTTTTACCTCCCCAACCCTTTCCCTTTTTAAACCCCTTGAAGGGGGGGGGGTTTTTGGTCCCAATTGGTCCCTTTAAGGGGGGGGAAAAGGGGTTCGTTTCCCCAAAAACTTCTTTTTTTAACCTCCTCGGGGTTCGGGGGGGGGAAAAAAAAAAAAGGGGGGAGGTTTGCAATAAATTTTTAAGTTCAAGGTCTTTTTTGGGTTTTTTTGTTTTTTTTGGGGGAAAAAAAAACCCCCTGGGGTTGGTCTCTCTTAGAAAAAAAAAAAAAAAAAAAAAAACCGGGGTTTTTCGGGGGAAAACCAAACCCATTTTACCCCCCGGAAAAGGGTTTGACGTCGTAGGGTGGACAAAACCCTTTACGGGACAAGGGGGGGGGGGGGGTGTTCCCTTAAAAAAAACGGTTATTACCTTTTAAAAAAAAAAAATTTCCTTTTTTGTTAAAAAAAATTAACCCCACCCCAAGGGGGGGTATTCAAGGGGCTTTTTTTCGGGTTTTAGGGCATTTTTTTCTTTATTTTAACCCGGTTTCCTTTTTAAATTCGGGGGGGGGGGGGGGGAGAAAAACAATTACCCCTTTTCGAAAAAGATTTAAAAGTTTTTTCGCCCCAAAAAAAAAAAAAGGTCTTTTTCAATTATCACCCCGGTTTTTTGGGGTGTAAAAAATTTTTTTTTTTTTTTTTAAAAGGAAAAAAAGGAAAACCTTACCCTTTCCACCCAAATTTCTTTTTTTGGCGGGGGGTGGGGGAGAAATTTTCTTTTTACTTTACCCCCCCCCAATCCACTTTATTTGGCACCTTCTATGCTACTCTTTTAATTATTTTTTCGGGGGGGGAGATTTGCCTCCCCCGAACGGGTTTGGGGACGGGGGGGAAAGGGTCTTTTTCCAATAATTCGGGGGGGGAAAGGGGGGTCCTATTATTTTTTTTCGGTTTTTTTCTTTTCAAAAAAAAAAAAGGTTATCATTTTTTTTTGGGGGGAAGGTTTTTAAATTGATTTATTTTTTTTTTTAGTTTAGGGAAAAAAAAAAAAAAGGGCCCCTTTTCGGGCAACACGGGTTTATCCTTCCCAAAGCCAGGGGGGGGGTTGGTTTTTTTTAATTGGCTCCTAATTTGAGGGGGGAAACAAAAACCAAAACCCCCCCCGTCGGTTTGGGTTATTAAATTTTAATTAAAGGAATTAGTTTACCTTCGGGACCAGGGGGGGACTTAAAACCTTTTCCTTTCCCTTTTTAATTTTGGGGGGAACCAGGGTTTAAGGGGAGGGGTAAAAAAAAAAAAAAACATTTCGGATCGGGGGTTTTTCAACCCAAAAATTTCCCAAAAGGGGCAAAAAAACCCGTTTTTTGATTTGGAGGGGGGGGGGGGAAAAAAACTTTCTTAAAATTTTTTCCTTAAAAAAACCCCTTTATTTAGGAACGGTTTCAGGGGGGGAAAGGGGACCTTTTATTTTTACAAAGGGGGTGGGGGGGGGGGAGAACATTTTCAATTTTTTAAGGGGGGGAAATTAATTGAAAAGGGGGAAAAAATTTTTAAGGGTTGGTAAATGGGGGTGTCAACCCTTTGCTTTTTTCTTTGGGGGGGGGAAAGGGGGGGAATTGGTTGTTGGGTGAATTCAAAAATTCGAAAAAAAAAATTAATAACCCAAAAAAAGGTTTGGGGGTTCCTTGAAATTGCGGGGGGGGGGGGGCACAGGGGTTGGTTTTTTGGGTCGTTTTCGGAAAAATTTTTTTAAGGGGAAAGGGGGGGGGGGTTTTGCCGATAAAGAAGGAACGGGGGGGGGGGGTTAACCCCCTGAAAAAAACTTTTTTTACCCCCCAAACTTGGGGGGGCAGGGTTTGAAAAAAACGGGGAAGACGAAAACAAAGGGGCGGGCTTGGACCGTAACACCCTTTTCGGGTTTTTCGGCTTCTAAAAAAAAAGGGTCCCCTAAAAAAAAAAAAGGGGGGGTCCCCTTAAAAAAAAAAGTTCCTTTAAAAGGGGGGGGGTTTTTTTTTTTTTCCCAAAAAAAAAACCTCCGTTTTAACCAAACAAAAAAGGTTTGGGGGGAAAAAAAACCCTTTTCGGGGGGAAAAAAAACCCTTCCCCCCAACCTTTTCCGCAGGGAGGGGTTTTTTCGGGGGGTTTAAAGGGTTTAGGGGGGAAAAAAAAAAATTACCGGTTTTAAAAAGGGGACAAGGGGGGGGGTCATTTTTGTTTCGCGGATCGGGGGGGGTTTTAAAAGTTTGGGGGGCCCGCACAATTTTCGGGGAACCCTCTCTGTGGGTCCTGGGGCGTCCAAAAAGGGGGGGTAACAAAAAAAGGGGAAGTTTTATAAGGGGGTTTTGGGGCTCTTTTTTACTGGGGCCAATCCGGTTTTTAAGGTGGGGCAAAAAAAAAAAAGGGAAAAATTTTTTTGTTGGTTTGGAATGGCCGCTTTTTATTGTTTTGGGGCCTCCCTTTTGGGGTTTTCCGGGGGGGGGGGGTTACCTTTTCCCTTTCCCAAAACCCCCGGGGGTTTTTTTTCTTTCTTGGTCACCCCCCCTTTTGAACCCCATCAAAAAAAAAAAAAAGCGTGTTTAATCCCCTTTAATATAGGGTCAAAAATTTGATGGGCATTGTTTAAACGACAATTAACGGAAAAACATTTTTAAGGGGGGCCCCCCCGGTGCCCTTCTAAGGGGGTTGTTTTTTATTTTCCAAACCCTAACCCATTAAAATTAAAAAAATTAAACCAATTTGGGCGTCCCAAACGAAAGGGGTTTTTTTTAGGGGGGGGGGTTCGGAAAAAAAAAAAAAAAGGGGGTTTGGGT